CGCAACCTAAGAAAGTGGGATCTAGTTCAAACCTGAATGAGAACCAAGTACACGCCAATGTAGGCAATTACCATAGGAGCAACCGACCAACAAAACATTGGAAGCAAGGCACCATCTGCAGCCACACCGCCACCCAAGTACTTGTACTTGTCCTCAGCTTTGGCATCAAACTCGGCTCAAAATCCGATCTGGGCAAATCATCATCCATGAAGATGTCGGCCAAGCCACTCTAACTTAGCCCTTTGGATGATAGGAAAAATTGGAAAAAACACGACCTGGTTCAGAAACCCAAGACATTCCACTTTTCTTAACACTTCAGTGTTCAAATAATCCTGCGAATAGCTACTTTCAACAGGATTATCTAGTACAATCATGTGATTATCCTTGTTGAAACAAGACCAACATGCTTGGTTCCAATCTTCCACAGGGTCATTGGACCATATTGGTCCCCCGTAGCTCCAGAGTTCAGCGAACAGGGCACATCGTCTCGATGCCGGCCACTTTTTAATCCATGTCCAATCTGGGTGATGCTGTCTGTCATCGTGTCCTCGGGCCACAGCAACCAACGGTAACCGGAGGATTTCAGCGGATTTTCGGGTGGCCAATTTGGCCACTTGTCACAACAGCACCGAACTATCTTCAAAACTACTAGAATATGGCTCATTATTTACACTATTTAAAGGTACACAAGAGTTTGCAAGAGTTTTCAGGCAGTCATAACTCAACATGGTGATACTGCAGCCGTCATAGTGGTGCCCAGCTCCCGTTTTGACCCGGCTCTTCAACAAGTGGCGATCTTCAACACCGAGTCAGAATTGCAGGGAATGCCATAGATCAAGGACCCGTCCCCAGCCACCACCTCAGTGCAACCATCTCCAAGCAGCTGGGTTTGGATAAAGGTCATGCGAAAACACATGGGCACCACATAATATGGTCAAAATACGCAAAAATTGAGCCACAGATTTGGTTGTTTTTGTTGAAGGTATTAAACTGTCCATTTAGGCGGGAGCAAATGGTTTTGACCCTTGCAACTATGGTCGTTTTAGCACTGTATCCAAAATCCGTTCAGCACACAGCTAGAAGCACTCCTTGAATTTTCAAAACCTGCGGAAAACAACAAAACACCTACAGTAAAACAATGTAAAACACCCAACCGCTGATTTTGTATGCTGCTGAAGAGCGCCAAATCCCTTCCAAGATTTCTTTGATTCCCACCTCCCTCCGCTCTCAATTGCAGGCGGGCGGCTCCACCATGGTATTTCCAGCCGCCATGGCCCAAATCACCCAGGATGGAGCACTCGCCCCTCTCTGGGTCAATCTTGAGGACCTCATGCGACTGGTGAGAGGAATCCCCTGCTTTCTTGTTAAAGCCGTCTTGATATGAGAATGTTTGGTGGAGTTTGTTCAAATCTAATTGATGCTAAAAATATCTAAAAGTCATGTGACTTTGAATATCCAGGTTCTCATGATTGTTTTGAATAGACGCAGGGTAGCTGAACAAGTGTACCACTTTCAGCGGCAAGTTGCAGCCATCATGCATTCACCAGGCTCTCTTCGGCACATTGATTTGGGCATGTTATTACACTTTCAAAACAATGGCCTAAATTCCAGCCCTTTACAATGCAAATATGCATACAATTGCATACACATATGCAACATAGCCCAAAACCATCCATATAATGTCGATAAGCCAGTAATAAACGATACGCAATCTTTAGATACCAATTGAAGATTATCAAAAGACCGATCTGGGATTTATTGAAGCCAGTTGTTCACGTCATGCATTGGTCTTCAAGAGACTCCTGAGGCGTTTTGTGGGATGCCATAGATGCAGCCGTTGGTGGATTTCAATCCTCCATACCTGGGGGGCCCGACCCCGCAGGGGTCATGGGATTCTTGTTTTCTTCAAAGGTTCACCAGCTATCAGCTACAGCACCTTTACTGTCACGCGAATAGAACCTATGGGAATATATGGAACATGAATGGCTCTTCCAAACATGTGACATCATAAAATTTGTCCATCAGAAAAAAGGTAACCCCCTATGACTTTCCATAATTTTCCATGATTCTCTATTGTCCATGATGTTCCATTGATTTTCCATGACGTTCCATTAGTTTTCCATTGGTTTTCCATTGATTTTCCATGTCTTTCCAGTAAATCTGAGGTGCCACTTCTGTCTCCCTTCAAAGGGTCCTCCAAACATCTCCACCTCTTTGGTTCTGGGATCCACCTTCAAAACCTGCCGCTGGGCCGCTGGTGAACTCCTCCATTTTAGAAATCAAAACCCCCACAAGATGGGTCATTCGGGTTCCGGGTATAGATATGGTAGTATTGGTAATCTACACCATCAATTCATAATGTATTATATATATAATTACATATACGTATTATATGTATAGAATATGTGTGTCTGCGTGTGTGCGCGCGCGTGAAATACTCCAGCACAAGCATGCTGAAGCTTGTATCAATTTAGTGCTCCAGCTGGAGAATGGTCGTATCATAACATAGACACTCACATCTGAGCACGAGCAGTTCGTTTTTTGGGGGCATTGTTCACACGTCGCTGCTGCTGGCAGCCGGAAGGGTTTCACTGACAGGAAAGCTTGGTGCTCTCTCAGCATTGCAACCCCCAAGCGAGGCACCTGGTTGTCAGTTGATCAACATTCCCCAAGTGAGTGTCCATTACATCCCATCATAGGCCTGCGTGGCATTTGCAGGGATGCCATAGATGTTGCCATCCTCAGTTTGATAGTGCAGGATGTTCAATGCCCAATGGCATGAATTCTTCTACTGCAATTACACTGTTCGATCTCTGTAGCCAAAGCACGTCCCCCAAGTTGCCACCATGCCATTTCCAATCTCCTTCCAAAGGCCCCCCAATGGTCATCATCTGCTGCTTATCTGGATCGATGCACAACACAGTGTCTGCATTGCTTGGCATACAATACCTGAGGCCGGTTTGAGGCTTCAGCCGGTTTGATGTTGTTTGCAGGCTACTCCAAGCTGCCCATGCGCAATCCCAAATTTTCCTGGGAATATCATCCTCTGGGTGAAGAATCCCAATGATATATCAACTGATCCCGTAAACACCAAATATGTGACGTTTGATCAAATATGAGGCTATGAGGAATTGTTCACATAGGTAAATACATCCCCCAAACAATGTTCGTTGTGTTTTCTTCATATGAGTCGCTTTTTTTTCCACTATGTTTCTTAACGTAGCTATGGAAAATCACACTTTTAAATAAATCATTCATCATCTATAAAAAGGCAATGGCTTCGCTAGGTTAAATAACCAGGTTGGGTAATATCTATGGTTCCTATGGTTTTTATTGGTTGATAACCATGGGCTTTTCCATGAATATCCATAGATCCAAGGTACAAACAGCCATCGAGCGGTGATTCGGCCCCGCGAAGCCATTTGAAGGGGCCCCGGAAGGGCCCACCAACCATGTCCTCAGGTGACCAGACCAAGTCCTCATGATGCTGCTAGGATTCTTCATGTTTTTTATGTGTTTGTATATATAATTATATATAATAAATATAGCATTTATAATTATGCATTTATATGATTTGTGTATATATGTTACATATGTTCATTTTAGAATGTTTAGATAAAGATACCCCCCAAAGATTGGGTTTAACGATTGAAGGTTTGGTAGATTTTGATTACAATGAATGTTGGGAGGTCTCACGAACAATATATAATATATTTAGGGTTGTGCCAAAAGTCTAAAAAAAGAGGGTCCATAGTCCAGAGCCCAAATTTACAATCCGTATCGGGAAAATGATGGAAAATGAACTGTCAATCCCTCGGAACTGGGGGTGCCCCATTGTCGGACCTGCTGGGGAGTCGATGTACCCCCACGTGCAGACTAAGCACCTAAATGGATCCAACTGGTCTCAAATATGTGACTTTACCCCCTGTACATCCGTATGCTAGACCATGGTTCCTGGGTGTTGAATATAAACTGGGGATGACTGGGGAAGGGATTACTTCTCTTTATCCTTTGGGTTACTACAAGATCTAACGAAACTTTCCTCAGTTCTCCCTTCCCTGTGGTCTGATCCACGGGTCATCCTTTGAAACCATGAGGGGTGGAACATTTACTGTAAAATAACGACTATTATAATTATGATATAAGTCTTACATAATTGAACATCATCTGTATTTTGAAATCATTATAGAGAAAGACTTACAAACAGTGAGGAACGACCTGCCAGAGTCTCCAGATATGGATTCATTCATATGGTGTATTACCTGCCATGCACCCCAAACAACCGACATTTTCTTCGCGGTGTGTTCTTTGTCGATGGACCATACTCCGACTTTGCCGAGAGGGTGGCGTCTAAAGATGTTTTTCGTGTCAGCTTTGCGACATGCCATTCATCCAGGGATGGTAAAAAGAACTGGCATGTGGCACTTGGCCCCTGTTATGCTGTCAGGATGTTGCAAGGAAGTCTGTCTGCTATAGATGTTCTCAGAAACAATGCCCGAACAAATTTACAGCTGGTTAGTTCTTGGACCAAAACAGGACCGTACACCATCTTAGGCCAGTTTGGAAGTGAATGAGCGGCATTCCTGTTGGTGAACCCCATCCTTCCTCCATCCAAGTCATGGCATGTCGGATTGCACGTCTCAAATGTTGCGCAAGCCATAGGACCAAGTCTGAGGCATCTGAGCCTATCCTTTCCTAAAATGGTTCATTTTTACTTTTTCCAATGGGTATGGCCAACAAAAAACTACGTATGCTATAATATATAGAGATCAAGAGGCTACGGCTAAATATCATGCTATATCCACACGAATGGCACAAACCAGGACCAATAAGAAAGAGAAACAAAGCTGTTAGAAAAGCAAGACGGAGAGAGAGAGAGAGAAGGAGAGAGAAGGAGAGAGAAGGAGAGAGAAGGAGAGAGAAGGAGAGAGAAGGAGAGAGAAGCAGAGAGAAGCAAAGAGAAGCAAAGAGAAGCAAAGAGAAGCAAAGAGAAGCAAAGAGAAGGAGAGAGAAGGAGAGAGAAGGAGAGAGAAGGAGAGAGAAGGAGAGAGAAGGAGAGAGAAGGAGAGAGAAGGAGAGAGAAGGAGAGAGAAGCACAGAAGGAGAGAGATCGAGAGAGATCGAGAGAGGAAAAAAAACTATAACCGCCATAAACTCGTGGTTTTGAGGGCCCCCAATCATCTTTGAAACCTGGGACTTTGCCCTGGCTCCCGCCATCAGACTTGAACCAAAGCCAACTGATTCAGAGTATCCACAGGTGGATCCCAGGGCATTTCTGGATATACAATGGATGGTAATCCCAGCAGGGATAATGGGCACCAGCAAAGATCGGTTCCATTAACTAACACTATGCGTCCGACGATGTGGGAGGGGCATTGGTAGAGAATGGATGTGCATAGCACTGTAGAATTTATGTGGGTTTAGTTTCTATAGTGTAAACGCGGCTTTGTGGTAGCCCGAAACCCCAACGGTTTGTCGTTTTTCCCCATTGAAACTACCATTTGGGGGGTATGATTCGGTATGATCCCCCAATCTCTGACACACCCCGTATCCACCATTCATTGGTTAAGCCCAGGGCATGGCACTCCTTCTCTTTGGCACACCCCGCTTCAGACAGGGCGATGCCGTGGGTCAAACCCATGTTTTCCCTAAGAAACCGTGGCAAATAATTATTTTCCTTGGGGTGGAATATATTGTTTAATATCATATCATATATTCCAAAAAATTGGAACATTATATGCTGAATTTTATTCACATAAGTACAGTGATGACGCATCCCTCTGGGTTTTGACCCACGGTTCAGCTTCGACGTTTTGGAGCTGCTGGAGGGCGACCTGGTGATTGCCATTGCCATAATTCAAAAAGAATAAATGCCTCTACATGGGTGTCCAACACGTTTAAACTTTAAACAAGTGTTTCCAGATGTTTCTAGATGTTTCTAGATGTTTCTAGATGTTTCTAGATGTTTCATGATGTTTCTAGTGTGACATTTTAGTATTGGGGGAGTGGAATTGCAAGTTTGGCTTACGATACAGGAATGTTGAAAGAAAACGAAGCGCATCGCTCGTACCATTTTTGCAAATCCAAACCTTTCTAGCCTTTTCAGTGTGGCAACTCCACGGCAAGTGCCAGAAAGACATCTTCCAACTTGTGTAAGTTCAGAAATGGGGATAGGTCAAAATAATGTAATTAGCCCCTCCGAAATGTAGATGCCTGGTCTAACATGAAGGTATATGAAAGTATGAAAGAATGAGCAAATCCGCCCACACCGCTTTGGCGGTGAAGGCGTGCTTATTGGGGGGCAACAGCAACACTAAATGCTCAATGACATTTGTTAATATAGCAGTCGCTATATCAGCTTTAGCTGGGGGGGGGGGCCCAAAAACGGTTTCGCACCGAGACCAGAATACGGTGGTGTTTTCGACATTTTTCGAGGATTTTTGGGTGTCTGAGCGCAAGAGGGTATTGAAATGGAATTTTGGGTCATTTTGGTAGCTTTCCGGCAATGGAAAAACGGCCAAAAATGAAAAAAACATTGTACATAGCAAGATTTTGCAGGGTTTTTGGATGCCAGAGCATTGAAAACACTGCAAAAACAAGTGTTTTGGACTGACGTTATAGCAAAAAACGTGTAAATTACCGTATGCTTGACTGGAAACATTACAAAAACACTGTCAAAAGCAATGTTTTGGAAGGATTTACTGCCTTTATGGCAAAAAACGTGTAAATTACCGTCTGTTTGACTGGAAACATTGGAAAAACACTGTCAAAAACAATGTTTTGGAAGGATTTCTTATTGAAACTTCTTAGCTTGAAGAGCCCCCACGGGGGAAAACCACCCTTAGCCCCTCTCACGGACCGAAATAAACCTGCGGTGTGGGCGGCCACCCCACGCGAAGCGGGGTGAATATCACCTGGCATTTATGGATATTTATGGGTCAATGGCCCAAATTACCTTCTCCCAAATGAGGTTCCCTGCCTCCGCCTCTCAGCAGTCTCAGGTCTGAAAAATGCTTTGTGCAGCGTCTGGATCTACATGCCCCGCAAAACGTCTCTCACGGGCCACAGTCTTCCGCTCCGAGCGCAAAACCCGGAGCTGACTCGTCAAGTTTTGGACATCCTGGCGACAGCTTTGAGTTTCCTGGGCGGCAGCGCTAGGCGGCGGGGCGATATCGAGGAGTTTGTCCACTCTTATCCCAGATGCTGGTGGATTGGACTCGGCCATCTGAAGCCATTCAAACGAAGTTTCTGTTGTTGTCAGGAATAGGTCCAGTGCAGCGCTGGATTAGTGCATATTTATGTGTCTGAAATGGAGTTCTGGCGCTTGGACGATGAGGATTCAGAGGGTCGATTGGTAGCTGAAGCGCAATGAAATTAGAGGGAACAGCACCATCGCGAGAACATCCTTCTGAACAAAACATTAAAACATATGTTGGCCTTGAGGGGGAACAACCAGGCGAACCATGACCCAAACGCGTAGATGCCAAAGGTTCTTTGAGCACTCTCGCATTTTCATGCTGCAAAACAACCTCACCAGTAGAATTGAATTTGCAACACAGACTTGCAAGGGTTTTGTGCATCAGTTCCCTGCATGCCTAAATTGAGATGAACCCGTAATACATTGTAATACATTTTAATATTGTAATTAAGTATGCAGTACATAAATGTACATAATACAATGTACATCTATATTATATTATAATGACACCGGTTGCAGTTGCTTGTTTCATGTTTTTTTGTTCATGATTCATGTTTGTCAAAAATGTCAAAAATTGTTATAATGCCATACATAGGATTAGGGTACATGAAAATGACATGATGGGCACCGACCGGTCAGCCAATTGAAAATGATGGAACTTCACCAGAAAGAAGCACGAGTAAATCGAAATTGCATGAAACCAGCAACCCTAAACACCCGTGCGCACTGCTCAAAAAATACCACCAAACAAGTCAACCCAATTGAGGCACCATATCGATGGCACGCGCTGCTCCTTTCAATTGCTGCAGGCCCTTACAAAATTCCGACACCGTGATCATCCCATCACCTCAGCTTGCGATGAGTTTTTCGGCACAAAATGTGGTTGAAACATGTTGACAAATGCGAACATGTCCGACATGTTCGCAAACCTGCGCGTGATAAAACATGATAAAACCACTGTTTAAGATCTAATGATCAAAATCTGGGAGAGTTCAATGGGCCGCATAGGGTTTGTTTTTGAATCATTTTGAATCCAACAAGGGCACCAAAAATAGTTTGCCCGCATGGGAGCGCAACCAAACAAGTTACTTTTTCCATTCCCGGCATGAGTTTGTGCATTTTTTGGCCCAAGTTTCCATCATCAAGTATCTCGAAGAGAGGCCCAATGTCCCGGATATTCACATCCATCGAGTGCAAGAAATTTTTGACACTGGGCAAGTTCATGGCTGCCAGAAATTCTGCTGGGGACAAGATGCCATCCTGGTTCTCGTCCTCAGCGAGTAGGCCATATTTATAGCAGGTCATTCTATAGAAGGAAAGAAAATGTATAGAAACAACATGTAAGCATCGGTAAATCCAAAAATATATCATACAATTTTGATTGTGCGTATATGCATGTAAAAATGTACACCTCTAGAACGCCTACAAAAATACATCAAAACAACGATGTACGTGTGTAACGTTTACTCGCTCTCCCTCTTAGAAATGCATACATATATGTATACGCACAAAAAATATACACGTAAAAACACATCGTGTACATCTAAAGGAGGTAATGTTACGAAATGAGCATAAAATCATCCCATCCCATCATTATACCCTTTCTTTCTGATTGTGGTTTAAATCATAAATCACAATCCCCAAAGTTAATCCACCAACTATCACGCATGAATAATTATCCCCGTCCCGGGAGGGTCCAGTCAGGGAAAATAATCTTATCATTTTGATTGGCCTCAACCTTTTCAAAAATAATATCCGTGGGCCTTGACTTCCACTTGTGGGGCAACTTGAAACAACTTTACCCTCCTCTTGATCTATGACCAAAATGATTGCCCTGTTCCTTGACATTTGGCTAACACCACCCCCTTCTACATGTTCAAGATTGAAATCCTGTACCACAACCTAATGCAGAAATTTCATCTTTTTAAACAATAAAAATAGCGTGGAGCAACATTTTTGCAAAAACTGTTTCCCCCCTTGTCACAATTAATCTGGTGTCCCTCAATCTTTTATAGATTTTGATGTCCCCCCCAACGTCAAATGGGTGTGTCTGAAAATAGTGTACCCCTAAACCCAATGGTTAATGATCATTATCCCTATTAAATGGCTATAATTGGGAATATACCCTATTTTCAGACAAACCCAAATTTTGTTTTGGGTAGCAACCTTTGGCTCTGCCGGCTCCGTTTTTTGAAACGCCTGCGCAAAGATGCCCCACGATGATCCGAAGCCGCGACTGTCCAAGAACCACCGGCAACAGTGGACATCGGCTATCTTAATGGATTGGTTTAAGGGAAAATCTACAGGAAACCATGGTTTTTACCATCAAATATAGGGGTTTCCTGTAAATTTTCCCATCATCCAATTCTATGAAAGATACGATTTGACTTTGCAAAAAATGTAGTCTCAATGTTTCCTCCCCTTCAAAATTGATTCGATGTCCCTCAACCTTTTTACAAAATCCATTTCCCCTTGGCCAAAATTAAAATGGGGTGTATCAACCTTTGTTGATTTCCATTTCCCCCCTCTGCTACGAACCAAAAGTTCTTTCTGGGACCTGACAGTTTGCAGATTTTCAAGATCTAAGATAGTTTCATAATAGCGATTATTCTCCTGTCCTATGACATAGTCCTATTACCCACCCATGTTCCCATTTCAAAATTAAAATGGTTGTCCTGACCTTTGCAAGAGAGGGGGCTGCTAGGACAACCCATTTATAAAATTGATAATTTCGGAATTTCGGAACTGGCCATGTGATGGAAAACAGTGTAAAACTGAGAAATCATTGTTGAATCCCCAACTTTGCTCAATACATCCGCAATTTTGCTTTGCATTGCCTCAATTGAAACAAGCAAGGTGCAGCTGCCAAGAAAAGCTCTTCCAGTTTGGCATTGGTCTCTATATCGGCCCTCCGCTTGTCCTCCATGACCATGTCTGCCTGGCGGAATCGATTTGACCATCTTGGGCAATGTTTTTGCTGCAAAACTGCGATTCGTATGGGGGAAAAGAAATGAACCCATGGGTTTTGGGGCTATGTCCCATGTTTCGGCAAACCTGCGCGAATATATCTGTTGACAAATTGAAAATTTGTTTGCAAGTATCCATTTGAGGCCAGCGAATAACCACATGTATAATGCCGTCACATGGACGGGAATCCCCAGAATGGGAAAATTTTGATGGAGTTACGCCATGTTTGGAAACCCAGGTATGGATATTCTTAGGTGATTTAAGGTTGTACCTTTCAATCTATGACATATAGCACAACCCTCAAGGACGTTTTGAAAGTTAAACGACACCGATGTTATTGAAACAAATCACCTTCAGAAACCTGGAAAACGTTCTCATGAACTACCCAGATGCTTGCATATATAAAATATACAAATATTGGTTGTTCTTGGCGGTGCCCTCCATGGATGAAGCAACACCCGTGGATAAAACACCTACGTACAATCACGTTGACCAACGCACACCATGGCCGTATTCCCGCTATGTCTTTGACGAACATCCTTACTTTTTCAATGAGATTTTGTCTGGTGGGCCGGTGCGAAGCCAATGCATCATCACCCACTGCCCTTACATGTTCAGCACCAGGCATCTGTTTGATGATTCTTTGCTTGATTATTTACCAGATTCATGGCACGACTTCATATTTATTGATGGACTGGACGACTGGTCTGTCAATATGGGGTACCAGCAGCTCTGCTGCCAAGCAACATCGTTCGCGGCACTGGCTAAGGTTTCTTTGATGAACAGCGCCGTGACCACACGAATCACAGCAAAAACCACCAAAGTTAGGTAGGTCAAGAAAAAGGCGGCCTCGTCAGCCGAGTGGGGCCGCAAAGTTTGGCAATTTCTATTTTTTAATGAAATTTGGGGTACCCGGTTTTGATACTATAACATCCCATAGCTAATCATACAGGAAGCCAGGGTTCAGCGAAACAGCCCGCAAACCCCAGTGGACCACGTGGCAACCACATGCGCGAACAGAGTATCAATGTCCGGACAGAATCAATGAGTGGCTGGATACACCATGATGCACCAAGTCTTTGAGCCAAGAGCTCAAGAAAACAATCCTTACCCTCTGGTAATTTAACGTAGCTATTGAAAATGGCAATTTATAGTGGATTTTCCCATTAAAAATTGTGATTTTCCATAGCTATGTTAGTTTACCAGAGGGTAAAACATTAATTATCTCAATTTTAGGGTTTGCTTCGGGTATGCTTCGGGGAGGTATGCCTCAACAAGGGTGCCACCCTCCACGACTTATATGCACAATGTCAAGGTAGGATTACTTAAACCACCCGGATTAAACAACCTCGACTGCCCAAAACAAAAAAAACGTAATTTAAAAACAGGTGGTGCCCCTGGATTAAAAAACTTTTGTGCCTGGACCTAATTAATCAACATCCAGTGCTGAAATCCCATTTTGTTTTATTTTCCAACTCTCTTTCTTTTCAAATGGTGTCCTTATTCTATACTTATATAAGTTGAAACCTCATGAACATCAGAATCCGTCACTGCTGATCATTGGAAATTTCACAAAACCACTATTCCCCAAATGATCGATTTCTAATTAGGTTCTCTATAAAAATCATCAGTTTGGATAGCTCCCAAAGGGTACCCCATGGTACCCCCCTTGAGCCCACGTTCCCCATTAATAACCAGAGGGTTCCCCTTATTAATCAACCCCTTCCAAGGGGGCATTTATTTAGGGGGTAACTCGGAAAGACCTTCCAAGGTCGATCTGACCTTGTGGGGGGGGTTATTAATCCTACCTTGACATTACCCAATAGCACGCTAAAAGCCGAACCCGCATCCACAACTTTTGAGGGGCCAGTTGTGTCACATCGGCCCTTGCTCAAATTCAAAGACCCCAAAAAAGGATGTTTAGAACTGACCAAATTTGACTTTGTACCGTTGAACCCTAATGATTTCAAAACCATAGCCATGCTACCCATCTCCCACCCCACTCGTAAGCCTGACGCCGCCGAGCGGCATACCAGGGACTCACTTTCTCAATGACGGGGCGCACCACAGCTGGCCAGGAGCCGCTATGAGTGACTTCGAACATCGTGTAGAGAGCTTTCAGGAAACTACCTGCATCTTGACCAAGCAAACAAAAAACAACCCCATTGTGATGTTAGAAAGAAGGATCCTGTGCACAAGGGCTGCAATCGTCAGCGGTATGCAGTGGCCATCTCCGTTCGTGTTACTTGCAGCACGTGATGTTCTCACTTCTATAAGTCTATAAGGGTTTATCCCCATCTTTCTTCCTATGACAAGACAACGCAAACACACACACACGTGAACCAACTGTACCAACTCAGGAAATCGTCCCTGCGCCAAACTGCCATAGAGTGTGTTCATTTCCATCCGTGCATCGAGGTCGGCCTGGGCAGTTCACGATACGGCTGGATGGTAGTTGCCAAATATGTTGATTTCATACCACCAAGAAAGGATGGAAAAATATAGAGAATCAATGAAAATCAAAAATGAAAAGAAAGTGGCATGTCTGACAATGGGATACACCCCCGCAATTCCAATTTTTAATGGGAACATGCTGATTAAGCATTGGATTTTGGGGAAACCTATTTTCAATCAAACCCAAATCATTGAACCTGAATTATTAAGTGATGAGAATGGGTGAAGTTTGCACCATGCTATACTGTCAAGTCAGGATTAATTAACCCCTCCCGATTAATCAACAACCACTGCCCCCCAAAAAAATTGTAATTTAAAAACAGGTGGCCCCCCCAGATTAATAAACACTTTGGCCTACCCCCGATTAATAAACCACCAGTGCTGAAATTCCATTTTTTTCAACCAAAATTCCTTATTTCCAGTTCTTTTTGTTTCTCATCACTCCTCCAGTGCTGAAATTCCCCTTTTTTTGAAACAAAATTATTTATGTCCAATTCTGTTTGTTTCTCATCATGTCTCATCAACCTCAGAAGCATGAGATTTTAGCAATCAAATCTCGTCAAATCCAATGGAATCTTGTGGAATCCATGAGAATTCCGCAATCAAATCTCATCAAATCCAATGGAATCTTGTGCGTTCCATGAAGTTTTAGCAACCAAATCTCATCAAACCCAATGGAATCGTCTGGGATCCATTGAGTTTTAGCAACCAAATCTCATCAAACCCAATGGAAGCTTATGGGGCCCCTGAAGTTTTAGCAAACAAATCTCATCAAACCCTATGGAATCTTATGGGATCCATGAGGTTTTAGCAATCAAATTTCATCAAACCCAATGGAATCTTATGGTGCCCATGAGATTTTTGCAATCAAATCTCATCCAACCCAATGGAATCTTGTGGGATCCATGCTAGTTTACCGATCAAATCTCATCAAACCCAATGGAATCTTATGGGAATCCATGAGATTCTAGCAATCAAATTTCATCAAACCCAATGGAATCTTATGGTGCCCATGAGATTTCTGCAATCAAATCTCATCCAACCCAATGGAATCTTGTGGGATCCATGAGATTTTAGCAATCAAACCTCATCAAACCCAATGGAATCTTATGGGACTCATGAGATTTTAGCAATCAAACCTCATCAAACCCAATGGAATCTTATAGGACCCATAGATTTTAGCAATCAAATCTCATCAAACCCAAAGGAATCTTATGGGCCCATGAGAACCCATCACTGCTGATCATTGAAAATTTGAAAAAATATATTCCCCAAATGGTCGATTTCTAATTAAATTCTTTTTAAAAATCATCAGCTTGGATAGCTCCCAAAGGGTACCCCCCATGAGCATCATGCCCATCATTAATAATAACCAAGGTGCCCCCTGATTAATCAACAGCCGGTGTCCCTAATGTTTTTTCTTTGGGTTTGCCCATTCATTCCAATGGAATCTTATGGGGTCCATGAGATTCTAGCAATCAAATTTCATCAAGCCCAATGGAATCCTTATAGGGTCCATGGGGTTTTAGCAATCAAATCTCATCAAATCCAGTGGAATCTTATGGGGTCCATGAGATTCTAATAATCAAATTCCATTAAACCCAATGGAATCTTCTGGGCCCCATGTGATTTTAGAAATCCAATGCTATCTTATGGGTTCCATGACGTTTTAGCAATCAAATCTCATCAAATCCAATGGAATCTTGTGCGTTCCATGAAGTTTTAGCAATCAAATCTCATCAAATCCAATGGAATCTTATGGGGCCCATGGGGTTTTAGCAATCAAATCTCATCAAATCTAATGGAATCTTAAGGGGTCCATGGAGTTTTAGCAATCAAATCTCATCAAATTGAATGGAATGTTATGGAGTCCATGGAGTTTTAGCTATCACACCCGCTGGAATCTTATGGGATCCATGGGATTTTAGCAATCAAATCTCATCAAATCCAATGGAGTCTTATGAGACCCAAGGGATTTTAGCAATCAAATCTCATCAAACCCAATGGAATCTTCTGGGCTCCATCAGGTTTTACCAATCAAATCTCATTAACCCAATGGGCCCATAGGATTTTTGCAATCACATTTCGTCAACCCCAATGGAATCTTATGGGGCCCATGAGATTTTAGAAATCAAATGGAATCCTATGGGATCCATGAGATTTTAGCAATCAAATCTCATCAAACCCAATGGAATCTTGTGGGAACCATGAGGCTTTAGCAATCAAACTTCATCAAATCCACTGGGGGCTTTTGGGATCCATAGAGTTTTGGCAATCAAATTTCCTCAAATTCAATGGAATCTCTTGGGATCCATGAGATTTTAGCAACCAAAACTCAATCAAATCCAATGGAATCTTATGGGATCCTAACAATCAAATGAATCAAATCTCATCAAATACAATGGAAACTTATGGGGCCCATGAGATTTTAGCAATCAAATCTCATCAAACCCAATGGAATCTTATGGGATCCAATGGATTTTAGCAATCAAATTTCATCAAACCCAATGGAATCTTATGGTGCCCATGAGATTTTTGCAATCAAATCTCATCCAACCCAATGGAATCTTGTGGGATCCATGCTAGTTTACCGATCAAATCTCACCAAACCCAATGGAATCTTATGGGAATCCATGAGATTCTAGCAATCAAATTTCATCAAACCCAATGGAATCCTTATAGGGCCCATGGGGTTTTAGCAATCAAATCTCATCAAATCCAATGGTATCTTGTGGGATCCATGAGATTTTAACAAATCAAATCTTATCAAATCCGATGGAATTCTATGAAGATCTAATTGACGTAAGCCATATCCAAAATTTTATGGTTCAGAGGTGCTTATCATTAAGGGGTGCTCTACAAGGTCCCATCTGACCTTATGGGGGGGGTATTAACCCGGTGTTGGCATTACAACAAACATGAACTTCATCAATGAAGAGCTGATCAAGTCTGTATGTCTCTTGTTCGATACACAGAAATGTGGTCATGCTCCGCTCGTTTAGGCATGATGGTCCCATGATGTCCCATGCACACCAAAGGTCCACCTCCACCCGTGGCAGTCTTAAACATGTTGAGATCTTTGATCTTTGTGTTGGCGTCTGGGTTCATGATCACACTCCATGGAAGAGTGCGCTCGGATCTTGCCACCCAGATACATTCGTATCCACTATGAAGCCCTGCAGCGCTTGACCTCTGGATGTTGGGATGATTTGAAAAGCGACATGGGTTGAGAACAAATGCTTGCATCTAATTAACAAAAGGAAGTTTAGTTCGCAAACTTCCGAATTGTGGATGAACGTTCTTCGAAGGTGGGAACAGGAGATGCGAGTAACAGTTCGGGAGCGCGTGACTTCACGAGTCAACCCCACTTTTTGCGCCAAACCCGTGCTTTTACAGGTATGGTGGCTCCTCGGGTCGGGACAGTAACAGTAGGGTCTGTGTTTCCGCGGGTTCAGGCCTGGATCTGGGAAAGCTGTCGACAAAAAGCGCATGAGACTGCAGCGAGAGCTCGGTTTACACTTCAAAATGTTAAAAAATCCAATCCAAAAACACTGAAGTGCGCGGAGCACTTTGGAAGAGAAGGTCAAAAAATATTTCGAGTGATCCCCACCCTGGTCCATTATTCTGACATAGTTTCTGACATACCATCTAGAAGTCATTCTTTCTGGATCTTTCTGGCATGTGCTCTGACGTTCTTTCTGGCATTCTATATGGCATCTCTTCTGCCATGCCTTCTGGCGTATATTCTGACATGCTTTCTGGCATATCTTCTGACATTCTTTAAACCACCGGTATATCTTCGGGGGTTCTTTGTGGTCGAGGTCCGGCGGGGAACACTTTCATCCTGAGCCTGCTGTTCGTGTCCGGCGGGGAACGTTGCGATTTAGCGCTTGCAGTTGAGGTCCGGCGGGGGACACTCTGATCCTGAGCTTGCTGTTCGGGTCCGGCAGGGCACACTGCCATCTAGCGCTTGCAATTGAGGTCCAGCGGGGAACGCTCTGATCCTGAGCTTGCTGTTTGAGTCCGGCAGGGAACACTGCGATCTATACTGTAGCGCTTGCAGTTGAGGTCTGGCGGGGGACGCTCTGATCCTGAGCTTGCTGTTTGGGTCCGGCAGGGAACACCGCGATACTTTCTTCGTAAAGGTAGGCCTCCAGGAGCTACCTTTCGTGATATATTGCAATATCATTTGGGCTTGCAACCGTATTTTCTAGTGCGTTTTTGATTGATCCATCTGATCGACAAATCTTGAGCACCATGAAACGCCTGTCTTGACCGATGCGGGAAGGCAACCAATATGGCAGAATGAATTGTTGACATTCTTCACTGAGTAATACCATGCCATGTAATACCGGTGATCCTTCCCCCTATGCTTAAGAGAATAGAAACCCTGTTTAGTGTTGGGTCTGTTGGGGTACATCTGCGCAAATCATCGTGGGAATGATTTAATTGAGCATCCCCGTCCAGCCCCAGAGACGTCTAGCTTTGCAAGGTACATTTAGTTATCCCATCTTCTGGAGTTGGTATGGTTGTAACCCACTTACTTACTAGGACAACACTTTTCCCGACCGTTGACACACACACACATATATATATATATGTATATATATATGTGTATATATATGTATGTATATATATATATGTATGTATGTATATATATATATATGTATATATATATACACACATAGATGCACAATTACATCATACATCTACACGTAATATATTCATTCATATTCATTCTATCATCATCTATACAGTCTATACATATTCTATGCTTGGCATAGTACTGACCTCCTCCAGCACCAAGCGGCAAATGATGAGTGCAAAGCCCAACTTGAGCACCAAGAGAAGAACCATCGACCAAAACAAGGCACCGATGCTGGCCACACATGTGCCAACCTGGCTGCTGTGTTCAACGGGGTCGTCATTCCAAAATGGAAACCAACTTCCAAACTCCAAGAGTCTCCAGAGCGGGAATCCATGAACCCCATGCGAATTGGCTTAATCATCAGCCCAAAAATCTTGAAATCATCCGAAATCATCCGAAATCATCACCGACGAGGCGCCAACAAGCGCAGCTGCCGGAAGACGGCCAGGGCCTTGACGATGCGCAGGGTCCGAACGATGCGCATCAGCTTCACCACCCGCAGACTGTTGGATTGCTGATCCTCAATTCGCCAACCCCTCAACGATGGTTGTGGATCAAGCCCCCTGGGAGGGGTTTGATCAGTTTCAATGTGATTCAATCTAGTTCAAGTGGATTAGTATGCTTCAATCACGTTCCCCTCAGGAAAAATCACCCTGTGTTTAGAAAAGCTACAACCTCTCATCAACTTCTCTTGCTGAATGGCAAAAAATCATCCAAGAGTCTTGGCTGATTCCAGCCACCAGAATGGGGAAGAGAAACAGCTCAAAGATGTTGAGACACACCAAGCAAGCATCAAAGAGGTTCAAATACATGATCCCTTGACGTGGGTCGTAGATCCACTCCTTAGTCACTTGATGCTTTTTTGCCAAATATGTCCCGCGCTCACAAAGATCCATACGCTTTCCCTCAATCCCCCGATGCTGTATCATACTGTATATAGCTACTAGTAAAGAAACCCACAGATGATGACTTCAGATGTTTTTGGAAGATCGATATTCCCGGTTCTCATCCATCATGGCTTGTTTTGAAGCTTTCAGCATGTTCCAGTCCTTCGATTTCAGTTCGTAGCTCGTCTTCTGAAAGTCTCACGGCACCTTTCAGGGGACACATGGTTCTCCAAGCGTCTTTGCCCAGGATATAGATTCGCACCAACACATCTAGCAAGTACAAGGTAAAGAACACGTACTCCTCAGGAACGGTTCAGCTGGGAAACGGAACAAACCCAGCAGGTGTGCAGGCTGTCATTATTAATTATGATCATTATTATAATCACTATTATTATCATGATCATTGTCATTGTCAACTATTCTTCTTATTTCTTATTTCTAGTTATTATTATTGCTATTATTACTATTATTATTATTCTTATTCTTAATATGTTAAATTCTTCGCTTTCTACTCATTCCCCCTGAATTTCTCAAAGTTGCCGCCACTTCGAAGGTCATCTCATTGAAGGGAAGGTTTTCACCTCGCGACCGTCACATCCGACATCCAATGGCGGCACCCTAGGGCGCGATGTTTTTTTCCTTCCAAAAAAATGGAACAAACATGGTTGGTGGTATACCTACCCCTCTGAAAAATATGAGTTCGTCAGTTGGGATAAATTATTCCCAATATATATATATATAATTATATATATATGGAAAAACATGTTCCAAACCACCAACCAAATGAACAAACACAGCAAAAAGAAAGCACCAAGTCAACCGCCAACGGTTTGCTGATCTTTGAATTGAAATGCAACATGGATCCCGTGGTGGGGAAAGCGTCTGCAAATGCTGATGCTGAAATGTGGCACCAAGAGCTTTCTGAAAATAGGGGATGCCACCAATGTGTCCCATTTTTATGGGAAAAAATACGGAAATTGCTTAGAATTATGATCATCAACCATAGGGACTTTGGGGTGTCCCCTTTTTCAGACAGACCCACATTATCCAATCATCACGGTTTCACTTGCCGGCCATGCCATGGCTGTGATCCGCTAAGTGACTGGGAAGACCAAGGCTTTCGTTGGCTTTGGAACCTCAAAATCGAGGCCCTGCCGTGGATGCACGGCTAGGACTGCACACCGGTGCCATAGGAAGCCAGGCAGTGCCTTGTACAAGGGATTTGTTTGGTTGCGTACTGACACTATGGAAAACTATTGAAAACACTAGCTGGTTGGTATTGGTCGGTGGTATACCTACCCCTCTGAAAAATATGAAAGTCAGTTGGGATGATTATTCCGAACCAGGTAGAACACCCGAAGCAAATTCCCATCAATTCCCAATCTTCAGACCGACTCCGTCAAGTATCTGATCAACCACATGGCCCCGCGATAGGTCTGCTTCATTCTACCCCAGGACGATTTTCCATATTAAATGTCCCTATTGAACTCAAAATCCAGCGATGTTTGTTTGATTCAGCCAACCTCCTCTTATCTCATAGTTTCCTTTAAAAAAAATCATTGTAAATGAACATGTCATAACATGTCAACATGTCCAGCATCTTCTTTAATTCGGGCCAAGAGACCCATCCACTGAGTCATCACAATCATGAAAGTCAAGTTCACAAGGACCTGGCGATCCACGGTGCCATGGGATCAATCCACGGCCACCTTAAAATTCTCGAGGAAAAAAAACTTGCCATCATCATACCATCCATCCAAACCACCTTGGAGGGAATTTTAGTGGTCATTTCCCAAGTTTCAGCTCCACCAACAGCTTTTTTTTGCCCATTTTTGTATCAACGAGGCACCACGATGCCCATATAGCCATCCAAAGGTCCTTTTACAAAGGACTTCATGGGCGGATCCGGTTCCCACCTGCAGGAAACAGGGCAACAAAAGAGTGGTATCAGGGTGATCCATTCGTTTTCACATTACATGTTAGACTTTGTGTGTAATGGCGCGCCAAGGAAGACACCAAAAAGGAACAAAGGAACATCATATCTGCATCAGATCTGCAGCTGCAGCACCTCTCGCTCATGACATGTGTGCCCAACGCTCGCGACTTTCCTTAGCGACTCGCAGCTTCAGCATTGAAAAACTGCAGGAACACGCAAACACAACACACGCAGGGGATCCTCAGGTCTTTTTTTGAATGGTGCAGGATTCGCATAAGCAGCCTTTCTCAACAGACATCAATGGACCAATGGACACCATGGACATCCACACCAAGCATTTAGCATTGTGAGGATCACACAGGATCGCCTACATATGCTCCATGTGTGAAAGGCCCACCAACATTTACCAACTGACCTAAGTGCGGGTCCAAGAACCATACAGGGGAATGGGTTGTGAGTATCTTAAACTCAGAAGTTTGATGTCTGATGCGTGGAAGACAAGTGGGCTGGGATCGGCTGGAGGGAAACGACCAAAGAAGGACCAACAAACCGACGGATTTCACTGGCCTAAAACTCCGCCCTGAAAAGAATATAGGGTTTGAGAAAGTTGAACATGTTTTGGCTGTTAGGTTGGACCTCTGCAAAAAAAGATAAAAAAGAAGTGTCCTAGTTCCTAAGCCCTAAGCCCATCAAATAGAGAAACACATTGTAGCCTGGTATGGTGAACATCAAAGTACCTGGAAGTTACAAATGTATGCAAATGTTCATTCTCATGCGTTCCCCCCTTCATAGTCCCATAGATGGCACGGGTTTATCCAAACAGTTGACTCAAAAGAAAAAACACATGTTAATCCATTGTGATTACAGGTGCCCCGCTTTCAGACAAACCCACAATATCCCACATTACTGATCCCCACAAAATGATGCCGAGCCTCTTCTCTCCTTGGAAAAGGCTTTAGGAGGAGTAACTTGCCGATCGCTGGAGGTCGCAAGCTCAACACTGGCCACGCTGCCAAGGTCGCTGCAAGCACGGTCAAAGGCCTTCAGAGGTGGCAAAGCCCACGATAAACCATCCCCCAAATGGCTGGGATTTGAACCATCCACACATGCTGGGGCCATCATTATATTCTATTGGGTCTGCCATGGTTTACTACATGATGTACGTGGAGATCGTCTATAATGTTTCGTCCTGAGTGTGAGGCCACACACATCAACAACAGCTATACCCTCTTCAGAGTTGTGCGCAAAAAAGGCGGTTCCCCAAGAACAAATCTACACGTAAGTAAGGATTTCAATTGGCTACAATTGAAATCTAAATTAAACCTTTTTTTTTGCCGATGAACTTGTGATATTTATAGTGCTTGTAGTACCTTGTAGTGAGTAGGGTTCAGCACGTTGACTGCGTTACCTTTTCCACCTTAAGTTTTTTTTCAAAGTGAAATAAGAGAAAGAGAAAGATAGAACGAGAAAAAGAAAGAGACAGAGAGAGAGAGAGAGAAAGAAAGAGGAAGAGGAAGAGGAAGAGGAAAAGGAAGAGGAAGGGGAAGAGGAAGGGGAAGCGGAAGAGGAAGGGGAACGGGAAGAGGATCAGCTCTGGAAAAGCTTGCTGCAGTTGTGAACCCTGATGACAAACCTACTAAAGTGAACTGGACCCTCTCATGCCCCAGTGCTTTGGAAATTTGTGGAAAAACTGTTCTTTAATAAGGGTTTACCAGTAGTACCGCACAAGGCGGTGGCGGAAGTTTCAAAAATAGGAAACCTATAGGAGAGGTTGGTTGTTGTGAATCACGGATGGCAGAGCGAAGCCACTGATGGACTGAAAGGTGCTTGAGGTCTCCTCTTTTTTTTTCTCTCTCTCTCTCTCTCTCTCTCTTTCTCTCTGTTCTCTATCTTTCTCTGATTACCTACCTACCTACCTACCTACCTACCTACCTACCTACTGATCTATCTGTCTACCTATCTATCTGTCTGTCTATCTATCTATCTCCCTATCTATCTATCTACCTACCTATCTATCTAGCTGTCTAGTTTTCTAGCTATTTGTCTATCTATCTATCTATCTATCTGTCTGTCTGTCTGTCTGTCTGTCTGTCTGTCTGTCTGTCTACCTGTCTATCTGTGGTGCAGTGTCATTCAGTGTAATGTAGTGTGGTGTAATGTAGTGTGCTGTAGTGTAATTTAGTGTCGTGGAGTGTACTGGAGTGTAATGTAGTGTAATGTAGTGTACTGGAATGTAATGTAGTGTAATGTCCTGTAGTGTAATGTAGTGGAGTGTAGTGTAGTGTAATGTAGTGTAGTGTAGTGAAGCGAAGCGACATCTGAACCTCCAAAAGTGGTCCGAACCCCTAGTGTTTTTAACATTTTGACTTCCAAATGTGCTTCGCGCCACAACGGCGTGCACTTTTCCGAGATCTGAACTTCCAAAAGTGGTCCGAGACTCCTAATGTTTTTAACATTTTGACTTCCAAATGTGCTTCGCGCCACAACGGCGTGCACTTTTTCGACATCTCAACTTCCAAAAGTGCTCCGACCATGGTGTGCTTTGTACATTTTGACTTGGAAATGTGCTTCGCGCCACAACGGCGTGCACTTTTTCGACATCTCAACTGCCAAAAGTGGTCCGCACCTCTTCTTTCTTCTAATCTTTCTCTTCTCTCTGCCTCTTCCCTGCTCTGCTTTTCATCTGTCCATATTGTCGGAAGTTCGACTTCTAAACTTCCTTCGAATATGCGGTCTGATTCTCTTGGGAAAGGCTTGGACTTTGAACTTTTCAACTGCTTTTGTAAAAGGTGTTTTTCCTTCTCTTGGCTCCAGGATCAGCTCTGGAAAAGCTTGCTGCAATTGTGAACCTTGAGAACAAGCCTACTAAAGTGAACTGGACCCTCTGATGGCCCAGTGCCTTGGAAATTTGTGGAAAAACTGTTCTTTAATAAGGGTTTAATATGCGGTCTGATTCTCTTGGGAAAGGCTTGGACTTTGAACTTTTCAACTGCTTTTGTAAAAGGTGTTTTTCCTTCTCTTGGCTCCAGGATCAGCTCTGGAAAAGCTTGCTGCAATTGTGAACCTTGAGAACAAGCCTACTAAAGTGAACTGGACCCTCTGATGGCCCAGTGCCTTGGAAATTTGTGGAAAAACTGTTCTTTAATAAGGGTTTAATATGCGGTCTGATTCTCTTGGGAAAGGCTTGGACTCTGAACTTTTCAACTGCTTTTGTAAAAGGTGGTTTTCCTTCTCTTGGCTCCAGGATCAGCTCTGGAAAAGCTTGCTGCAATTGTGAACCTTGAGAACAAGCCTACTAAAGTGAACTGGACCCTCTGATGGCCCAGTGCCTTGGAAATTTGTGGAAAAACTGTTCTTCAATAAGGGTTTATATAATAAGCGGTCTGATTTTTTGGGGACAGGGAGACAAGCAAGATTTTTTTCAGAAAAAATGTTCTTGTTTTTACACAAACATTTTTTTGGACGAAAAAAATTGTTTCCCAAGATTTCTTGCCACAATAGTGAACCTTCCAAACATTGCTGGGGCCCTGAATATTTTTTTGGCACAATAGCGAACCATAGCGAACCTAGCTATACTACTAATCAGGATGCAACATTACTTCTGCATGTCCCTGATCAACTAATGCAATGCCATCATTTTCTGTCGCTTCCGACATGACGCCTGTTCTCAACACATCTGTTTCAAACTGGGAACACATGCCTCAACTGTCGCTCTGCTGCCGTCTCAACTCACCAAGCTGCGGCTCAAAATTCTGGTGCCCATTGGATCCGGAAAATTGAAATAAATGGATGATTCTGAGCCATGAACCAGTCCCCATTATTTTGTTGGCCAATTCTGACCATTCTGGAACCCTACATGATTTCTTGAACCATAGCCACAACGAGATTCCAGGGCCTCCGGAATTTTCTCAGCTGCACGTGTGCCATCCGCAAGGCCCTGCCCGGCGTCATGGATAAAGCCACTGCTGCTTTGGATCCAGAACCTATCTTGGATTGCTGGTTGGTGGTATACCTACCCCTCTCGGAAAATATGAGTTTGCCAGTTGGGATGATGACATTCCCAATATATTAGGACAAATAAAACATGTTCCAAAATTCCAAGCCACCAACCAGATTGTTTCTACTGGTGGGCCAAAAAGGAGATTCCACAAAATGGGCAACACTGATCTAGAAGGGTCAACTGAGCCATGCTTAGCAGTTGATGCCTGGCCTGATCCATCTACCTGGCTGAATTACATGTTGCTTCGCACCCCGAAATGAATCAATGTTGGGCGATCACCTTTACTGCATTGACAGAGGTAGATTGGAAACCACTAGGAAACAGAAACACAGACCAAAAAGCACAAACCCCAAAATGTGCCTCACTTCTTGGATCCAATGATCTAATCCTATCCCCCCAATTTTCGACCCTTACCATCCACTTGATTGACATATGAAACAACCACCAATTTGTAGATCGTTTTCCTTGGGAAACCATGGCTTTCTGGGTTAAAAACCCGCCGTCCTTGGGCGAGAAGTCATCCTTCACTTGGCTGTCAAACGTCGCGACGGAGCCGTACATTGATGGCCTTGGTGCTGAGAAGTTTTTGTGCAAACGATAGAGGGAAAATATGGGAACATATGGGAAAATGCAGGAAAATATGGGGGAAGTACTGGAAACTATCCAGAACATGATGATGATAGTGTCATAATTATGATATTCAAGCTGCAAAGTTCTGAGTTCTGAAATGTTCTCAGCCAGAATCTGGTGCAAAAACCGCATGCAACTACGATGGCTTGTCAACTCCAGCTCCCAGGGCCCATAAGGTACCAAGTAGCGGTGAAAAAGCAACAACATCGTGATAAGAGCACAGTTGGGTGACATTTGACTGAAGAAATTTGACCTGATGTCTTGAATGATGTTTTTAAACATATGACTATACGAATGTATGCGCATGTCGAAGCCTATGTATATACATATTATTATGTGGACAATAGTACATACAGTATCATGGACATGCGCGGCTGCCAGCTTGCATTGGCGGAAGCACATATACCAGCGTATCTGTCCTTGCTGCCCGTATTTAGCGCCGGCCTTTCCGTAAAGCGCACGTTGAACTCCGACAAGTTTCATCGCTCATCAATGTTTTCTTGCGCTTGGTTGCCAAACGCTGGTGTCGCAGTATATCGATACACGTCTTGCTGCTCAATTGACGAATTGACATGCTTAGCGGCTAATGGTGGCAATTTTAAATTGACCTGACCGTCTCCCCAAACACTTCATAAACAACCTCACAGCAGCGAAGTCCCCATCTATCAGCATCCGGGTAAGTTATAACAATTCACTAACCTGAAATAAGGGCCACATAATGATATGCTTCGCAAGCAACCCTCCCCCCAGAAATAAGGTCATTTGGGGATGATTCCGGTGCGGTCCATCACAGCATCCCAGATCCAAGCGACTTGGGTTCTCTCACATTCTCAAGCAGCTGCCGGATCAGCGCCTCCTGGTGCACCAGCCCGGCCCTCCTGTGCCTTCATCTAGATCTGCTATGGCAAACCATCGCACAGAAACAAACATGGTTCTATCTACAACCTGCGGCACCCAAAGTATACACGTATGCATACAAACCACACATTTATAGCAAAACACATTGGCCATCTTGGGGAGCAGCTCCTGCTCAGCAAATTTCACATCCAGAGCAGAGAGGATCCAGGCTTGGTCTTCTGGATAATCCTTGTGAAATGCAAAACACGGTGCTTATAAGCAATGAATCATTGAATAAGGAAACGCGCAAATTGGATATGTGTGCAAACATATGCGCACACAATATAGATATATGTATTTATATTTTATCTGTGGGCATGTGTTAATGTACATAACTTTTCATGATTTGAATAACACGCACGTACATATATATATACAGTATATAATATATATATATACACATTATATATTCATTATAGAATAGTGAAGAAAATATCTGATCACTTGCTGCCTTGGAATTTCCCAAACTGCCCTCATCCCTAGACCCAGCGGCCAGAAAATCCCAGCGAGAGCCCAGCTCATCGCGCTCATCATCTTTTGTCAGCTCTGGTGTTGGCATGCAAAGGGCCATCAAACGGGGGCCATGAAAGCACGGAGGAAATTGTGACCGCACACGCTGTGGAGCCAGATTGAAACAGCTTCGCAGCAATAGAAGCCATGTCGGATTTCTCCACTGCGGGGGCTAACAGAAAAACAAAGAAAAAACATGATTTACCCTCTAGTAAATTAACATAGACCCTGGCAGTCATCGGGGTTGGAAGACTAGTTTCCATTAAAAATTGTTGATTTTCAGGGTCTATGTTTATTTACCAGAGGGTAGATGGTGGATTTTTGTGGATGGATGGGACAAATCTCCTCCTGACCCATGACTTGGCCAAGGTGCCACCTTGCCACTGGCAATTTCGATACCTGCCACGCGACGCCATGCTAAACCGAGCGATTCAATGGGGTGGTGAACCGGTGCAGCCAAAGATAAATCAACACTTTATTTTTTCTTGAATCATGGCAAATCAAACTATATAATGTGTATATATATATATACATATAATTACAAAGAAAGGAATGCAGTTGATTCCGATTTTTTTAAACATGAAAAAGGCCGCAAAAAGGCTGCGCGCGAAGGCCAACTTTCCAGCCCATAGATTTTCATATCTGGGTATGTCTGAAATTTGAGTAGGTACCCCAACCCCTACGATTGATAATCATGTATCCTGCCTGGTAGTTCAGGTTGAATTTTTGGCTAGCCATTCTTGTGAAAGCCTAACCATCAGTTCAATAGAAACAACTGTCAACTGCCTCGATCAGCGCCTGCCACAGCTGCCACCAAGAGACGTAGGACTTGTTTGGCTTTTCCGGGCACTCCATAGATATATTTGCCACACAAGGATTGGACTCCTCACTGCTGGAATGCGTGAGACATTTCTCAAGGGAATTGCCAGAAAGGTAAGCTGGTTGGTGGTTTCAACCCAGCTGAAGCATATTGCTCGTTTGGCATCATCAATCCCATCTTAGAGGGAGAGTCAAACTACAGTACTTGAAAATACTTGAAACCACCGACCTAGCATCAACAATGTAACAGCATGCAACAACCATCATTTCTGGGCAATATCAGTTCTAAGTTACATCCTATCTTCCTTCGCCAAGATCTTCAGATAGATTCATACAGCATCATACAGCATCTTTCTTGTATCTGAACCCTGCAAAACACGAACTGCTACCATCTGCTACCCCAACCAGACTTTTTTATGGCTTAGGCCTACACCCCTTAGGCCATCATGGGACATGTCACGACATGTCCCCATTGTGGCATGTATTGATGCACCGTTTCATCCAGAGCTCCTCCCAACCACTTATCTTGGCCCATCAGCGGCTCCGACGGAAGCACCTCACATCCTTGGGAGCTGTGGGAATTGGCTGGAGAAACCCAGCAGAGGGACCATTTCCACTTGGAAAATTGATGTACCCTCTGGTAATTTAACGTAGCTATTGAAAATGGCCATTTATAGTGGATTTTCCCATTAAAAATGGTGAATTTCCATAGCTATGTTAAATTACCAGAGGGTAAAAGATTATCCAAGAATCCAAGACAGATTGGTTTCGAGTCCCTGCCTTTTTCTTTCTCAACATTCCACACACACACAATATCACAGAATTGTACACAAATGCAACTCTCCATTGCTTTGATGAAATTCATATGCAAACTGCAAAAACTAAGTTTGAACTCAGTCTTAGGGTGTTGAGTAATGTTGAGTATCACTAGTATCACCAATACGGAACTTGTATCCATCTATTATAATTTCTATCATCTAGTCCATTCCTATATGCTAAACAACGCTGCGCACAGCCAAAGCCCCAAGCTTGAATGGACAGTTTCGGCTCGTCAGTGGATACTGTGCATCTGCATCATGTCCAACCCGGACCATGTACAAATCAATCTGTACAGTACTGGACATTCCACAATAATGCCTGTGACTTGTAAGCATTGGCAGTGGTTGATATTTTTCTTTGTCACTGGTTTTGGGCTACCGGCTCGCGTCTACCGAATCTATCCACATGCACAACGTCAACACCTGCAGTATTTTGATGGCCGAGTCTGGCACAGTTTTCTCTCTCTGGCCCAGTTCGACCGAAAATTCACTGGACGTGAGACACCAGGTTGTGCGACGCATCATTGAAACACAACTAAGAACATGTGCCAAGTGGAAGTTTATGGCTACAGGATGTTGAAGGTGGAATTAAGAGCAAATGTCAAGTCCAAAATGCGCTTTGCCAACCTGGTGGTAGAGGACAGCTGAATGCTGTGGATGTGGTTTTTTCAGCCTGTGGGAAAAAGGCACAGGATACGACGCATGTATCATATATCAACGTTGCAACATGACAGAAAGGAGTCAACTTTACTGCTCTGCATTGCTCTGTATTAGGTGTTTTTAGAAATGCTGAGGTTCCGGAGCCCCCAGGGAATGTCCAAAATTGTTTGAATTATTAAAAATTGTTTCTAAAATTGTTTTAAAATTGTTTTAAATTTCCATAATTGTTCGGAGATTGTTTTAAAATAAAATGAAAAAAATAAATTTTGTTTTAAAATTGTTCTAAAATTGTTTTGATTGGTTTTAAAATTGTTTGAAAATAAAATGAAATTGTTTTAAAATTGTTTTAAAATTGTTTTGATACTGTTTGTTTTTTCGGAAAATTGTTTTAAGATGTTTTAAACTTGTTCAAAATTTCAAAAAAATATTCAGAAAAATGTTTCAATGTTTTCATGATCGTTTGGAATGTGAAGATTTGGTTTTGTTTTGAAAAATTGTTCGGCTGTGTTATCTGAAACAAACAATTTTCATTTTTCCGCATCAAAAAATGTGCGTTCTTTCTGTGGTGACGCTGTTTTGTTCATTCGCAAGGCATGCATAAATCTGGTATTGTTGCATGTTTTACTTTCTGTTATCATTCAAAAAGTGCGATCATTTTCTAACAACTGCCCACAATAACAACAGGAACTATTCGCACTTCAACGGATTGTTGGATGTTGTTGTGTCTACAGATCTCAATCATATGAATCATATGACTTTAGTCTTTAGTATTTAGTCAACACGCGGCAATCACACGTCAAAAACCCAGCCTTGAAAAAACAAAAAACTTTCAACCATCCACCCAACTTCTTTCCAGTCCCCAACATCACACAGGGCCACCCGCAAGCAAGTTCCCAACTTTTTCTTGTATAGCGGCCGCAAATCTTGGGGTGAGACCTTGGTGCAAAACCCGGCCAGAGGCCTATCTCTGCAAACGGGCCAAGGCCGCCAAAGCTGTCTCAACATCAGCCGCGTCTTCCTCCTGATTCTCATCATTATCATCCTCATCTTCACTGTCATGCGCAGGCAACCAGGGCACAGAGGCCAACGTGGCTTGGAAGATGGCCAGAACCACAGGAAATGCCATCGCATTGCCTGCGATGTCAGTCAGAAAGCTTTGCGAATTGCAAGCGGGTGGCAAACTTCGAGCCTTTGCCAGATATAATAAGATAGGGAAACCTTGGTAGATCAACGCCTCGTAGCCTGTGAGTATGCGCTGTTGGGACTCAACCCACATCAATTGTCCAGGCAACATGGTCGGCGCGACCTCTTTTCCTTTGTTGTCAATCTGGCTAACTGAGTTGATACGGCCCACGCTCTGGCTCACATTGCGGAATTCACACGTTGGATCGGCAACCCTAGACAAAACCAAGGCATCTGCCTCCCGCTTGGACAAAGTTTGGTACCATTTATTGCCTGCCAGCTCCTCATCCACGGCAGACCCCCACCGATAACCCAAATCATCTGCATAGGCCATGTGTCTGTCAAGCCATGTTTGTGGAGGTGCTTTCTTCTCGGCAGCCTTTTGCGCGCTTTTCTGGTGCTCCCCCAAAGCTTTCTCCAAGAGTTCCAAGTGATCTGGTTCTGACGGGCTCAGCAAGCACTCCTTGGAACAAGGCGGCGACCGCATGCAAGAAGTCACCAGAGTCCGCAAAGTTGAAAAGATCTGGCTCAAGGTTTTGGTTTGTGTGTCTACCTTGCTGCTTTCTTTGTCGATGAACATCACATAGAGCCTTCGACGTCGGCAAGGAAGCCCAAATTCCTGGCCATCAGTCATGATCTTTTGGCCCTCAAAGCCCAGTTCCTTCATGGCGTTCATGAGCAGTGAAAGGTTTGTTTCAGTGTTGCTGGAAACTTTGTCATCTATTGCGTCCACGTTTTCAAACAAAACCAACGTCGGTCTGTGACCCTGGCAATAACTGAGCATGCCTCGAAAGGTTTGCGCAGAGGCTCCTCTGCTGCTTTCCTGCGACAAAACCAGTTTGCTTTTGTCTACGGAGCTGTTGGCTCTGGACAAGTCCTTGCAGCTCGTTCCTATAAACAAGCAATCAACCGAAGGAACTGGGCACTCCTTTCCATGTAGGCTGCACTTGCTCATTTCACTGCCCATATCCTTGATATCTTCAAAGATGCAGCCAACTTCTGCATGAGTAGCAAAGGTTTCGTGCATGTCAGAGTTGAACACTTGTCCCTTGCACAAGACATCAGCAATCCAGGATCGTTTGGCCTTGTTGCTTTCACATGAGAACGCGTGCTGGAAAGTGACTGGCAAACCTGTCTCTTCCATGGCCTGGGCACACGCTTCCACTACATAGTGGACGCCCTCGCTGCCAGAGCAACAAGACCCCCAGGTCAACTCCAAATCATCCATTGCTCGGGTTTGCTCTCCACCAACCAAGCCTAGGGCCAACGGATGATTTCGCGGCAACACGGCTTTGAAGCCTTGCAGGTTCTCCCTGGCCAGAGTTGGCAGCAGCGTGCCTTCAACAACATTGAATGCCTCAGTAACCCGGCTGGAAGCCGACAGGATCAATGATGCGTCGGCTGAGTTTTCCTTCCGGAGCGCGCGCGCCTTTTTGTGAGGCGGAGACTGGGGTGAGTCGAACGGCTGCTCCATGGCAGGTACGACAGCAGAAAGGCTCAATTCATGCTTAGTTTGGATTCAATATCCCCCATGTATAGCCCGCTAGATGCTTTGCGGCCGACTTTATAGAGAATAGCCTGG